ACATCAAGTGGATTATGAAGGGTAAAAACTAATGGATGTATCATAGATATATTGACGTATTCCAAGTTTTAATTTTGTAATTGGTGAAAACCCTAATTAAAAGATATCATCATACCAATTAAGGGTATTTTTTTGTGCAGAAATCTTGGCCAAAAGAAAATTTGGCTCCTGCACTGTTTCGGCTAGACGAAAGAGATTCCAAACCAGGTAATCTCGCTCTTGTATAGCTCCGCACAGAATAGCTGTGTTTTTAGAGCTAACTATTTAGTCACCAGTGATGGCACTTGTGGGCAGTCCGTGTTTTTCCTTTTCTCCTTAATTGGTGGATAGATAGACACATTCTGACCGTTTCTCAATATACTCATGCGCTCGTGAAACATCATCAGCCTCAGAACCAGCACTGTTCCGATTCACAAAAACACAAGACCAAGAAAGGACAGTCCTGGATGTTGTTCTCACCAACTATACCGAGCATGTATCGGATAAACTCAGATGACCCAGTGGCCTAATGGATAAGGTATCAGCCTCCGAAACTGGAGATTGTGGGTTTGAGTCCCATCTGGGTTGTATTTAGTCATGCTACCTCCAAATTGTTAGTTGCCTGCCATCAATCCTGTATCTTAAACCGCCAGTGGTTACTGGAGCTATGGTGATCTGTTTTTCTGGAATAAGTACAACTACTCTCAACCGTTTAAGGAGCTTCAAAGAGCTTCAAGCACAGACCTACAAAGCATCAAACCTGTGGAGAAGGAGTATGCGAAAATGGTATGAAAGACTGTAAAAGCTTCGCTGCATAGGGGGCTGACAGCGCAGCTAAAAACAAACCTCACTGAAAACCAAAATGGATAATCTACAACTCAAAAATTTTTCAAAGAAGTAGATTAATAACTACAGCACTATCACCCTGACTGAGTCATGACTTAACTAATCCATTCCGGACAGAGTTTTAGTCTTTTTAGTCAATTAAAACTCTAATAGGTTTTAGTCTAATTTTAGTCAGTTTTATGTTAAAATTCGAAATCTTGAATTTCTTCCATCTTGTGAGCTGGAAGAAATAAAATCTTGATAGTTGGACAAAGGGATTTTTTTATATTTGACAGAGGATAATCAGCCACATATAGTTTATTATGTAGTGAGTAGGGATGGGGATCGAAACCCGGTTCTATAAAGGACCCGGTTCCACTTTTTTCAAAACCCGAAAATCAATAACGTTTGGGCTTATTGATACCACTATCGAGTCTGGTCTTTTCTTTTTTTTTTCTCCCGGAGGTCCTCTAACATAATTGTGTGTCCCTCGAGTCGCGTCACTGCATTTAAATCTATTCAATCCAATCACTGCAGCATGTCCACCAATGTTTTGGAATGAAATTGTAAGCAAACAGATATTTAAAGTAAAACAAGTGACGTCTGGCAGTTAACTTCGCTCGCGACTCGAGGATGGCTGAACAGAAAAGACTCCTCCTCCTGCTGCTGCTGCCGCCGCACCACAGTCGGGCCCGTCTTCATCATCCACTCAGAGTACCACTGCTAAGCGCGCACACAGACTTTGTAGCTTGTCCGGCCAGTTAAAAATAGTAATTGTGAAATCCGTGTTGTAATCGGCAGCATACAAGCTAGTTAGCTTGAAAAGTAAATAGTTTCAGACGCGCTGCGTGATGATGTGTTCAGATTGGCTAAGTAAAACGACAATTAGGTTATCATGATGCGTTCAAGTGTAACGTAAAGAAAAGGGAAATTGAGTTTTTGGCGAGAAACATGAGTAATACAGTTGTATACTGCTCTAACTATTTTAGAATATATAATTAAACTACTAATGCCAACATTTATTAAAAAAATACATTTAATTTATAATACAATTATTTATTTGCTAAATATTTTTCTAATCACTAAAAACATGATGATTAGTGACAGTAGACAATACATTAACCAACAATTGTGAAAATATATTCTTTTTAGTTTTATGTCATTTCGAAGTGGCCTATTACATCAGCCATGTTTATTGAAGGCTAGAAACGTTTTTGTTATGCTCACTTGTTAAGCAATAAAAGCAATACCAGTTCTGTTAAAAACATATTGTCGCATCGTCTTTCCACCAAATAATAGAAAAGTATCGATAGTGGTATCGATAAAGACTCGGATCGATAAGGAGTATCGATAAAGGTATCGATATCAATAAATATTAACGATCCCCATCCCTAGTAGTGAGAGCAGGAAGACAAATACTGAAACATCAGTGTGGAGTTTGAAGCCCAGACTCTGAGCTAAGCCGCGCAAAAACGCACTTCTGCACAAGTACAGTTGGAAGAGCAGAGTTTGCCAAGTTGAGCGGATAGTACCTGACCATTCCCGGTTATTTTCATCCCTGTCGCTGCTGTTATGATCCATCTGTGGTCATCCAGAATGTGCACCACTGCACACCAGGTGGACGGCGTGACCAAGCCAGAAGCAGCTGCACAACTGACACTGCTTAGCTTGTCTAACAGACACAACTGGAGCACATTTATGCATTTTAAATGTCTGATCAACCACCTGCTAACATTTTTACTTAGTCTAGTTGACAAGCACTCACACCAAGTTTGCGTCAACAAAGATCCAGGTTTAGCTAGTCAGATTTCATTATCATCATGAAAAACAAGGAGCGTCAACGAAATTATTTCATCATCCTCATTGTTGACGAAAACAGCACTGATATGGATGATTACTAACTACAACACACCCTCCCCCCCAAGCGGGTGTAGCTGATGTTGACTTCAGTGGGGAGAGACCACTACAGACCACCACTACAGAAGCACCATAGAGAGCGTTTTGACCAGCTGTCTCACTGTGTGGGGCAGGAGACTGCAGCTCTTCAGACTGGAAGAACGTGAGAAGAGTGGTGAGGACAGCAGAGAGGATCATTGGGGCTCCTCTTCCCTCCATTAAAGACATTTCTTTCTAGCGCTACGTGTTCCGAGCCCGTAACAACATAAACTACCCCTCACGCCCCCAACATGGACTGTTCTACCCGTTGCCCTCTGGTAAGATTCTTTCCAGCATTCGATGCATGATCAGCAGGTTCTACAACAGCTTTTCCCCCACTGCCATCAGACTGTTGAACTGTTGAAACCCTAATCAAGTCACAAATCATGACTCTGCATCACACTTGTAAACATCATATTTGCACTACAATTTTAAAAATTTTCAAATCCCTTTAACTAGAACTCAACTCAATATTTCTACTGCATTTTGCACCATATTCTGCTGAACACTGCTGCACTTACAAATGTTCATTTCACTGTTGTAAGTTGCTCATTCACTTTTCAAAAGCTGTATGCATTGAAATTTGTCTTAAGGGCTGGTTATAGTCCCGCAGCAAAGTGCAGCAGGGAGCTTGTCGCAGATATTTTTGATATATGCCCAATATTGAAGCATGGTCTGGGCTATGTTATTCCACACCACAACTCAAGATGAACGATCACAAAATAGCTGTGGGTCTCGATCTTTATTCCAACCCCTAGAGTAACTTCTACAACTTGATACTTGCTTCAACTAACTGGTTGAAAAAGGTGTCACCTGGTAACCAAGCACTGACCTTCTGCGGCACAGGCTCTAAATGAACGAAGGTTCTGAAAAAACCCAGTAGATCAAAACAAAAAGATTATTTGACCCCCTACCCCAAATCATCCCTGACTAAGAACCTCACACTGGACTTTAAACTTGGATTCTCTCCCTCTTCCTCCAGACTGTGGAACCTTGGTTTTCAACAGAAAATCAAAATGTATTTTAAATTAAAAGATTGTTTTGGGCCACCGAACAACCCTGTCCTTTTTTTTCTTTCAAATATATGTTCAGTTGCCTCTGTGTTTGCCTTATGGTTCAGGAATAGCTGATTACAAGAAGGGGTGCAGTCTGGCTGTCTCTGTTGCTTGTGCAGCATTTTCTTCTACTGAATTTGCTTCCCTTTAAATTTACATTAATATTTTTGTGTAAAGCCATCTGAACAGTCATCTTATTTAGCAATGAGTTGTTGTAGCTTGCTTTCTCCTTTGAGGGTGTCAATAAAAACTGGATAATTAGTCAGGAGCCCTTTTCATGATTGTGTGTGTCAAAAATCATTGTTATAGATCATTGATTAAAATGTCAAATTTTGGAGAAACACTATGAAACTGTTTTACATAAGCTATAAACTATAATCAGAAGCAGTATAAACACCCGCATATACATTTTTTCTTTCCTATTTTTAAATGATTTGCTGAAATATATTAACGTTTTAGACGTTATCAAAATGTGTTTTATATATCTTGAAAGACAAAACCAGATAAAAGGAAGCAAACATCTCATAGGCTGAACTGTAGGCGTTAACTCTTTGATCTTTATTTATGAGCTTTTTTATATATATTGCAGCCTTCCTTAAAGCGGTTTTGATCGATGCCTTTATTCCACCTCTTTCTGTTTAACTTTACTTGATGCATAAAACCAAGCGCGATCACAATCTGGAGGCAGTAGCCATTCAGAAAATCTTTGAATGGAATCGACAATTAGGGAGCTTTGATGCCTACATCGACTTTTCTATTTCTCCAAATATATTTTGTCTTGCCAATTGAATCCATTAAGGTCAAAACCGGATCTCTGTGGTTCCTAATGGTGTTATGTTTTCATCTCATTCATTTCCGCTCTCAGTTGGTTAAAGCGCTGGAAGGTGTGGCCTGGATGCGCCATCTATTGTGCGCTTTAACGCCACACACAACTGTGGAGAGCGCGTCTCCCTGTCTGGTTGGAGCAGATCTTGATTTTCTTTCTTCTTTTTTTTTTTCTTTAACACGGGTTGATATATTGATAAAACTTTACGGGTTCATCACAAGATTTCGTTTTTTATTTCCACCTGTAGCTGGGCTTATCATCGCTGCCAGCAGAATAAGAAGCTGTGAAGATCTTGATCTCTGCAAGTCTCTCTTTTTTATTTTATTTTCTTTTTTTTTTCTTTTTTTTTGTTGTAAACTCCGATTGAAGTTTACAACAACAACAACAAAAACTAAACGGGAAAGCTACAGGGAAAGATCGACACTAGGTTTGGTCCCAGGGTTTGTTCAGTGTTTATCATGCTTGTCTAGCTGCGTGCGTAAACCGCTGTGGAGGAGGATGCTCACATGAGACGCCATGGCATGGTGTGATCGAGGGGTTCAGACTTTGTTGGCTGTCGTGGGAGCCTTCGCCGCTTTCAGCCTTATGACTATAGCCATTGGCACTGACTACTGGCTGTACTCTCGGGCGTACATATGCAACGCCACCAATGTCACCACAGATGACAGCCAAATGCAAACCAAGAAAGTGAAGGGGGACCTAACGCACTCTGGACTGTGGAGAATCTGCTGTATCGAAGGTAAAACAAAAAATCTAATATAAAAGAATTTGGGGAACAAACTTTTCCTTATCTTTCTTTTTTCTTTCCTTTTTTTTTAGTTCTCTATTTCGTTCTTTCTTGTTGGTTATGGGTTTGGAATAGAAGCGCGCACTTGTATCCTGTTTGAGAAATATCAGTTTCAGCTAAAACAAGAAAGTTGTCTGTTTGCGCAAAAAAAGTACGAGCAACCTTTTTTTTATTTAATATACTGTACTGCATGCTTGCAATTGAATAATAATGCCTCAAAAGAAAAAAAAAAACATGTCATTGCTGCTTTGTTCAGGTGAGCGTGGGGGTGCTTTCTGCAGCTGCACACTGTTCCCTGAGGGGTTATAAGGGCTGGGCATCTTGTTCTGGAAAAAATGTCGATATTATTTTGATATTACATTTAATTGGACAGAAAACAAGTTCTGAAATCACAGTGGCGTCTCTAGACTAAATTTACAACGGGGTCCAAAGCCCGTACTGGTCAGTGACTGACTTAGAGATTAAATTTACCTGCTTCTTTCTCCCACACACTCTTGGTAAATATGTATTAATAACTTTTATGTCTTGTGACCTATTGACACAAAATTGATGCAACTCATTATTTTAGACTAGAAAGACTCTCTCTTTGTTTAATTTTTTATATTTTTGCTGTTCAAAATGAATATTTTAGCTATTTCCAATATCTCTTACTGTAGGTGAGTGACTGATCTAAGACTTGTCAAACCATTACATCTGATTGGATAAATGATGCAGACTTGTTTTCATTCAGTTTTAATACATTTTTTTTTTTTTTATTAAAGCAACATTGTTTAACTTTTGGTCACTAGGAGTGCTAGAGATGTAGGCTGAATCCCAAACAGTCCCCTAACCACTAACCCTTAACTATCCCAGTAAAGTGACACTCACAGCTGTGAAAGAAGCCAGGATTGTGTGTGAGGGGTATAAATGTGAATGGGACAGCCTCTTCACTCCAACAGAAAAGGGAACACCTGTTGCTATGGCAACACAGTGATGCCACATGTGCATGGCTGTATCTCTGTTGTAGGTTAACATCTCAAGCATTTTCCCCTTTGTTAAAAATAAATATATGTGATCAAATAAAACCATTTCTAAGAGGACATTCCATTTAGGAATTAATTATGTTGCTTTTTCCTAATTCGTGATTTTCTGTCAGTGTGAGGAAGTTGTAGCAAACAGCAGAACTGCATTTAAATGCATCTGTTTCCTCCGCCAGTAGTTTGCCATTACACCCACTTTTTCATTGAGCCTGAACTGATGAAGGCCCTCTATTTAAGGGCTGAACGGTCCACTTGCCCTACCCACTACATGCTTTGGGACAGTCCTTGATGTGGTGGACCCTCCGCAGGAACACGCAGACGAAGGATAAGTGCTAAGGATTAGTATATAGGGGCCGGTTTGGATTCAGCAGTAATATACAGGTTTAATCCCTCTGTGTTTTGGAATCTGAGAGTAAACCACTTTGGACCAGCAGATTGAGAAGCCATGGAGTTACTTTTAAAGAAAAGGCTACATTGATCCCTCCGGATTAAATCCTACATCAGAAAACCAAAAATATGCCAATCAGATAATGGTGCATTTAGACCAAAAGCATCTTGTGATTTAGATCATCTGATTGATATAAAAAGTGGATGTATGAATGGCATCAAGCAGCGTCAAGAAGTCGTACACCACATTCGAGCTTTGGGAGAGGCACTTCCTAGTACTGGGGCATCAAGGCGTTCAATGCTAAAGTTCAGTACTTATGTAGAAAAGCTAACCCAGGGGTTTTCTTGGAGATGGCTACTACATGCAAGCAGTGATCCCAGCTTCTGCAGCACTTTCAGCATCTAAAATTTGAATAAATATAAATGGGTTAAACTCCACAAGATTACAAAAGCCAGGAGAATTTTTTTTATGTACCAAGGAAAGAGAGAGAACTATAATCATTATTAATCCACAAACACATTTCTTACTAAACAGTGGCAAAACAGTTTATAAATACCTACATTAACTCAAAATTATAAAACCTGCCTGTAAAAAATATTTGATTATGTTTTCTGGAACTTTTACCACAAATCTAAAACCTGCTTATATTCATTTCAGTCGCTACAAATGGCAGCAGGAAATTCCTGACAGCCTGGCTGGCTTTAGAGAGCTCTCACTGGGGAGTCCCAGCACTGTCTTTCGTCGGTATGTTATGTCTGCCACTCTGTACAAATACAGAGTATTTAAACAGGATCATTATTCTGATTAACTGAATGAACAATGTGGACTTTCTAGCTTAAATATTACAATTATTGTTTTCCAACTCATTAAATCAAATTAAGCAGCTCTCTAGCTTGCAATGACAGAACAGAGTGGCTCAACTGCCGAAGTGTCGAAGCATCAAAGCATCTTGACCTGTCACAAGGCTTAGAAATGAAGGACTCAAATGCAAGACCTGACACAGTGGATTAAAACTCAAAGTTCTTTTAATTCAGTCCAGGGTTGAACAACAAAAAATCCAGCAGAAACAGAAGTATCAAAAAGCAGAGGCAAGACAGGTCCAAATCCAAGCAGGGGTCAAAAACACAAGAAAGCTAAATCTAACAGGCAAAAAAGGCTGGAACGCTAAGCTCAAAAGACTAAGACGAACTGGCAAAGGGAAGCTGCAAGGGTAGGAACTAAATACTCTAACAAACAAAAGAGGAGCACATACACCAGGTGAATTGCATTAGGCAGTGGCAGATCCTGATTGCAGGAAGGAACTTAGGAAGTGAAGCTGCCTAAAACGAGAGAGGAAATGAGTACCAAAATAAAACAGGAAGTGAAAAGACAAGGTAAAAAAGTGACATCAATCTAATCAGGTCTGCCCCTGACATGACCAATGTCTGGCCAATCGTCCAAGTCCTTGTGCTTAAGAGCTTTGGATGCCGAAAACACGTTTGGTCTGAACACACCATACGTGCATCAGATCTATTTTGTTGCCTAAAGACAACCTTTAGCTTAGTTAATGATTTTTTTTGTAGTAAGGCTAAATTAGTATGTAGTAATGTAGTAAGGCAGCGCCCAATCAGTAATGGATCCAATCCTCTCATGTTCCATGGGGAAGTTTTTGAGAAGGACAGGCCACACTAAGTATCAGTACATGCCAAATACCTGAAAAATAATTTAATATATCTCTAGTTAAGCACATATGCTGGTCAAACTCATTTAAATCAAAAAAAAAAAATAAGGAAAATAGGACTCAAACACAAAGAGAGCATTAATCCTGGGGAGAGTGAAAGTACCCAGAATTAAAAAAAGAAGAAACTGTACAGCTAACTAATATGCATACTTTTAAACATGTCAATGTGCATAAAAATCAAGCACAGTGGTTTGAAATGCATATGGAGTTAGCGTAAGATAGCTCCTTAATAGCAAGCAAAAATAGCAGCTAATGAAAAGGATTACAAACCACAAATTATTAAAAAATACTTGTCATTAATGCCCAACTTACAAATAGAACAGACAGATGAAGGTAAACGCACTGCCACTACAATATATTTGAATATACCACTCCAATTATTTCATCATACCACTAAACTACAGTATCCCAAGAGGGGCAAAACGGTGCTGAACAGAGAGATCAAAACACGATAACTTAAATACTTAATACTAAACTTAATACGGATCTTTTTATAGCTTGTGCAAATGAAGTGCATACCCAATACCACTGGCTCTTCTAGTTTCTACAGATATCTATACAAAATACGTAAGTTTAACACAATGAGTTTCGTAACTTTAAATATGTCCCAAAACATTTTTTCTCCTTGCATAAAAAAAAAACAAACTTTTTCTTAATATTCTCTCTCTTGAGTATAGTTCATAACTGACCTCTGACTTTCTACACTTGTTCAGTTGTGGACAACAACTGTGTAAAATCTCAGATCTCTAGTCATATAATTGTGAAACTCAGACATGTTTTGTATGCAAAGGACCAGTTTGCACGATTGTTCCAAATTTGGACCAAAAGTGCCTAACTGGATTATTTTAATTTAATGTATATAACTTTTTCAGCTTCAAGAATTTTGACAATGCATTTCCTGTGCATACCCAATCATTTCTACATTACTCCCGCTCCTTATGCATATAAATGAGTGCTATATTTTTTGATCTATATAAAATGATATAGTAAATTATTACAAGACATATTTTGTTATGACAAAATATTACGTTTTTCTTAAGTGTTAAGGATGAAATGAGCCCTTTTATGCCAGGATAGTACTCTAATCGGAATGAAAGAAGACACAAACAAGATTAGAAGTGAAGATTATGAGTTGTAATTTGATGACACATTATTAATTATTATGTATTACTGTTTATGGGGAATAATAGGCTTACAGTTGAGTTGATTGTGGTTTTCGTTAGGATCACCTGATTTAATAGACATGCAGTATTTTAGGTTTTGTTTAAAAATAAGCTTGCTCTTAAATGCAGAACAAAATGTGATGGAAAAGCAACCAGGAGCCGGGCGGTCGGGGCTAAGGGGCTAACATATTTAACAATGAGGGCCTTTTTGTGCAGAGATATATTTATAGTATTTCATGGGATAAAGTGTGGTGCTGATGGACCGCAGTCTTCTAGCAGAGAGGAACATCTGAAACTGTTTTTGTCCAGAGTGGGAGGGGTCTCAGAGTCCTGGAGGTGTACAGTACCTGAAGAGAAGAAAGATAGCAGCCAATCACCCTCTCTTTAGAGGAAATGATATACTGCTGCCTGCTCTTTCCCCTGATGATGGCAGGAATGTACAAGGTGGTGATGAAGGAAGAGAGCATGGACTCTGTGATGGCAGGGTAAAATCATTGTTGCTGGCAGGCAGAACTTTAGCTGGTTCAGGAAGTACATTCTGTCAATTGTGAGGGGGTGTTGCTCAGCTTCCACTTGAGATGATGGTGCCCAAGAAGTGGAATCCTGGTGATGCAGGATGTAGAAAATCACCCACAGAACTTTTTGCTCTGTATGTGAACTGC